CTTCTAGAAAGAGACATTCTCCTTAGCCATGTTTACCATGGGCATTGGGGCTTTTATATTCAGTAACTCTATTATGCCCATAGACTGCGTTTTTCCTAAGTCAGCTAGCACTTGGGGTGGGTGTCTTCTGAGAGGCCATCAGATGGCTAGGGAAAGACAAGTCTGCAAGGCTAGGAACCTGACTGTGTGGCCCTGGATCATTGTTTTGCTTCAGTTCTCTCAGCCATAATATACACTTGTCTCTCTCAAGATTGGAGTCCTTGGCATCCAAATTTGTGACATATGACGTAGTGGGGTTCATGAGTTTTGGTAGATTTAATGACCCAGAATTTCGGTTTCACCATAAAGAGGGTTGGTTGCGTGATCATTTGGGATTCTTCCAGCAATATCCTTGTATTTATTTGAAGGCAGTAATTACCTGCCTTTCAGCTTCCCTTGGTTTTATCATTTGGGGAATAATTTTATGGATTAAAAAAGCCCAAATCTTTGTTCCTTTCTTTAATATGTTTATGAAAATATTTTTTGATCAGGTAGTTTTTGAGCTACTAATTATTAAGCGAAGAATGAAATATTCAGGCCTCCCAAACCTACCAACATCTCTTTAAATTGCTTTTTTCTTCCTCACAGCTAGATCTACATCTGTAAATGCCTAAGTCCTGCTGCCAGCCAATCTTGCTGACAGCTACTTGATTCTGGGGGCACCTTCTATAAAACTGGTTATAGCATCTCTCTGCCCCATGGTGAAAAAAATAATGTAGTGTGATATGGTAAAGCGTTGATTGAATACGCGGAATAGGAGTGTCTGTCATCAGATTAGAGGGGGCAAAAAAGACGGGCTTTCTTCTTTCTCTGGGGTGAGGAGGGTCTGAGAATTGCTGAGATATTCATTGAGATATGTTCCCTGGTATTTTCTGTGAAATCATTTTGTTATCAAAGCTTTGCCCCCTTTCAGCTACCAGTGAACATTTCCAGCCCCCAAGTAGTGTGTGTGCATTGTGTGATAGTGGAGAATGGGAAAATGAAAAAGGATTAGTATTTGCTCATTCATTCACTGATAATTTCTATTTATGTTAATTGAGCACCTAGCCTCTTGCTAAGTGTCTGGCACCCAGTGGGTGTTGAATTAAACTACCTAATGATGAAAACAAAGGTTTCTAATCCAATGAAATAAAGTATAAACAAAATGAAAATTTTATTTTTGAGTGAAATGGATTGGAATTGGGGTTCTGTGGATAGGAAAGCAAGGGCCTAGTCAACTCTTCTCATATAGAATGTAATCCCATTGATTAAATGGGATTTGCACAAAAAATAGTGACATTGTGAGGAAATCATTAAAATGATGACAAGAAAGCTGATTTAAGATGGATGGTGCATGAGGCTGGGGTTGTGGCTCGCCTAGTACATGTGAGGGGTGGGTTAGATACTCAGCACCACATAAAAATAAATAAACAAAATGAAGGTATTATGTCCAACTACAACTAAAACAAAATATTAAAAAGAAAAAGATGCTTGATTCAGAGTTGACTGGCTTCCTTTGTTATTCCATAGAGAGGGAACTGCCTACCAGTCTTTAAAGGAAAGTGGGCAGGGAAAAGTACACTTGAAAGAAGGATATATTTTAGAATATTTGAGTATCTATAATATGTCAAACCCTTAAAATGTTAAGTCCTAAGCATATAACAATAAGATGTAGGACATGGAAAAACTTAGAATTTACATGAATGGTTCTCAAAATTTTATAGCTTGAAATTTACCATGTGTGACAATACAGGTTTGCTGGCCTCTCCTAGAGATCGTCATCTTCAGCAAGTCTGGAGTAGAACATAGCTTTGACAATCACCTGGCGGGACTCAGGGCATGTTGTCTAAGGATCGTGTCTTGGGAGACACTGATATATAGCAGTATGGCAGTACTCAATGTGTGGCCTCCAGACACAGAGGCATCTGGGAACTTGGAAATTATGGACATCTGCCTTAGATCTACTGAATCACAGTCTATGAGAGTGGCCCAGCAATTTGTAATTCTGATGCTTGATGAAGTCTGATGAGTAGGCCTAGGAGATGTCATAGAATTGGAGATGAATTTTGCCTCCTTCACAATTCTTCTGGGTTGATCAATGAATAATAATTATGTTTTGGATATGTGTGTATACTATGTAGTTCAGTCCAAAGACAAAGAGTGGTATAAAACATCCACTAATCATTCTTTTTGTGAAATTAAGACCCAGAGAAATGACCTGGGTGCCATGGCACATGCTTGTAATCCCAGCGGCTAAGGAGGCTGAGACATGAGGATTCTGAGTACAAAGCCAGCCTCAGCAATGGCGAGGCACTAAGCTACTCAGTCAGACCTGTCTCTAAATAAAATCCAAAATAGGGTTGGGGTGTGGCTCAGTGGTCTAGTGCACCTTAGTGCAATCCTTGGTACCAAACAACAACAACAACAACAACAAAACCCAAAGAAAAATGGTCTAGATTAAAGAAAATTAGCTTAGTCGGAAAGAGCTTCATTAAAACAAGGCATGTGTTTGTTCATTGGTACATAGTGGATCAGATTTTAATTAAATCAGAGAACTCCGTCATCAAGGAAGTCCTTGTTCCAGTTTTCCATATTTGTACTTTTTTTTTTCCACCATTGTATGCTTTTTTTGTCACTGACACTATAGAAGGACAGTGTGATGTGGGGCTAAAATACGACAAATATGAATGTCTGGAATTGATGGCCTTCCTAGCTCTGTCAGCCCTTGCAACTAACAGTTTCTCTCAGCCCTAGTTTTCTCTTTAATGTATAAATGATGTGTGCCTTATCTACTTCACAGGGTTGTAAAGATGATAATAGGAATAGCTAACATTTATTGAGGACTTACTCTGTGCCAGACACTGTGTTAAGTGCTTTACATGAATTATCTCTTTTAATCTTCCCAAGAATCCTATTATCATTGTTGTACAAATGAGGAAATTGAGGCTTGGTGAGATTAAGAAAATTGCCTGAGGTCACACAGCTGGAAAATGGTAAAGCCAGGATTTAAATTCAAAGTGTCTGATTCAGAACTCAAGCATATAACTGCCATGCTGGACTATAAAGTTTGAAATGAGATGGAATATAAACTGTAGAGTTCAATTTACACTGAGAAAAAGGAAAATGTCCACGTACTTTGTTCATAGTATCATCCAATATCAATATTTTGTGATACGTAGTAGGACCTCAATCAAAAACATTAATGCAACTATATGTTCTTTAACTTTTTTCCCCTAAGTCACAGGCCTTGTCTGATTGTGTTTTTGATAATGAATAACAAACTCTAAATAGGAATAAAATTTTTGAGAAGCATCTGACAGTTCTTACTGAAATATAGGGACTGAGAATATTCACACAATTTCTGCCTGGCTCTTGGTTTCTCCCATCTAGCGTACATCTCTAGAGCAAATGGCATGTGTGATGTGTGGTTCTATCTTCTTATCCTAATTGGAGCTCTTGTGGGTTACTCTTTTACATATAGGTTTTCAAACTGAAGATTAATTATCAGTAAATTGGTTAAACATAAGATACTGATTTCTACATGTACCCAGAACTGTGTTAAGCCCTGTGGGATGTGAAAAAAAAATTATATCTTGTAGCTATGGAACTACTCAGGGACTTTATAATCAATTGGACAGGCAGGATGAAGGATAAGGTGTGCAAAATAAAACAATAATGAATAATATAGTCTATAATGGTAGTTTAATAATGACATAATAAAGATTTATAGAGACATAATTACCAGAGGTACTGGAAAGAATTCTGGAAAAAAGCCTATGTAGTATGAGTCTAATAAATGTTTGTTAAGTAAATGAATGAATGGATAGACAGCTTAGAATTGGAATACTTGGACTCTGGTTAAAGCCATTATGACTATTGCTATGATTTAGAAGAAGTTATTTAATCTTTTTGGGCCTGTTTCTCATTTGCAAAATGGATAATATAATGGTAACTATAGCACCTCCTGAAATGCATGATGATAACTAAATAAAATAATGGATGTAAAAGTATGCTGTAACTGGAGAATGACATTCAATTGTAAATGTTATTTAATTTTCAAATATTTACAGCATATGAAAATATTTTGAAATCATTGTCTTAAAATGTGCAACTTCAATAAAGGTAAATGAAAAAAATATAAAAATAAAATGAGATTGAGCCTTATGAATGAATTCAGGCCGATGTGCTCCTTGGCTGACAATAGGCTGAAAGGAGCAATGGTTCCCTACATAGAGCTTGACTCCTGGTGCTTTGTTGGCTGAATCAGACAAGCCAGGCTCAGACTTGTCTCCACATCTAAACTGGACACATTCAGATAGGATCTCAGAATTGGAACTCAGCATCTTTATTTAATGCAAAGTGTAACAGAAACAATAAACCCCTATGGCCAACACCCCTTTTGAATTTTAGAAATAAAAAAAATGCAAAATAAAGCCCCAAACACCCCAAACCAGAAACCTACATCAATTTTAATCTTTATATTATAATATAGAATAATTATAATAATTATTATATAATTATAATTATATTTAGATTTATAATTACATTATATATTATTATAATTGGTTTAAAACTAAATAATATAATTTAATAATATATATTTATTATATAATTAGATAATAATTATACAAGTGACTCATGGATTAATTCTTCTTTTCAAGAAGGAAAATTAAAATAGTAAGAAAAAGAGGGCTCTCATCTTCTATTCTAGTTCTTTTCCCCCCTCACCAGAGGGGATCATGATCATGCAAATGATGCATGTATCCTCAGTTCCCATACAGAATTTTGTTTCATATGCCTTTAATTTAGCACCCACATAAATGGCACATGATGTAATTTGTTCTGTCATCTCTCTTTTGCTAACTGATGTGCTTTTGATTTCCAGTTGGTGGAAATATAAATATTTAGCTAATTTCTCTTAAGTAGACAATCACTTATTAAAAATACATTTTAAAACCATGTTGACTTTGTCTTCCCAACAGGCTCATTGCATTTTAGAGGAGAAAGCAGTCAGCACAGCTCCAGGACACACGCCTTCCCCTTTCCAGTAGGACAGGCAGAGCCTGACCGAAAAGGTAAAGAACTACTGAGGATGATCCGTAATCAATATCATGAAACACAATTCAAACAATGGCTTGCTTCTGAGAGTCACTGTTCAGTTGACCTGAAAATAATCTCTTCTCCCTCCCCATGCCCATGCTCTGTCCTCCACCCCATCGTGCCTCCCCAGAGTCTTTGTGTGCTGAATCCAAATGAGTGGAGTTTGAACTCTAGCTGCTCTCCCAAGAGTATTATTATTCCCCTCCCTTTAAACGGAAGGGTGCTAATTAATGTAGGAAAAGTTATATGCCAAGTTTGCTTTGCCTGTGGTTTCCTTAGATTAAAGGCTACTGGCAACTCCAGCTCTGTCAGAAGAGCCAGCGCTGTATTCTTATCCCCTGAAGGAGGTTTCAGCTCTGCTGACTCAAGAAGACATCAGCTTTTGATTTGGAGTTATTGGATATTGACCCATCACTCACAGCAGAGTTATGGGCCTGCTTTCCCGGACCCAGGGAACTGGGCTCCGGCTTTGCCTACAGCATCCCCCACCCCTCCCTTCAGTTTCTGTTGAACCTCAGCCTGTAAATGTCAATTTCATTTTGTAAAGGCCAGGCAGCTGTCAGTTCTTCCTGGGGATTCAGGGAGAAGGAGCACAGGATGATGCCCTCAGTAACACAGACATTTTATAGTATTTTACTGTGGCTCTCCAACTTCACCAACTTCCTACATCCTTGTCCTGGTATTGTCAAACCACCTTGTCTTCCCTCACTTTGGAAATTATCAGTGAGCCAGGTCTCCAACTGGAAATATAACCAGTTTTAAACGACTCCAGTATCTGGCAGATCTAATGCGACAAAATGAAGAACATGGTTTGGATACCGCCTCCTCTGTAAGAGACTGCACTTAAAAACACAACCTTGCTTAAACAGATAATGAGACTGATCAAAAGTGGTAATTCAGATAATCTTCTGACAAGGAAGATCCTTACTCAACTTTCAACTTCACCTTTATGATGAATCCAGTTATTTCTCTCATTCTGATTGTGGCATGATCCCAGTTTGAGACGACATTCCTATCTGTCTGTGCCTACCCATCAGCCATAGCTTAGGCTAAGCCAGGAGGAATTTAGATAAATGATAATCAGTCTTTTGGAAAAAAAAAAAACATCTTACATTAAGGGTAGAAGAAACTAAGCATGATGACTTTGACCTAGTGGCAAAGCCTCATGTTTGCCTCGTGCATAGAATGATGCTGAGACCACAGGTACAAGACAGGAAAGGTGCTCCTACTGTATCTTGTAACATTGAAGGCCTCAGCAACCATTTGAACAGACTTTGACACAGAAAGAAATAGAAACATAGAAGCCTTTCTTCTTTTTCTGGTTACCTTCCCTCTGTCATGCCAAGCACTTAGGCTCTTTAAATAATTCACTGTACCTTTACTGGTACCTGGTACAAGTTGGAGTACAGGAAATAGAAGGGCTGCTACAAACACCGTGGCTCCTGAACAACAAAGTGCACAGATTGAAGGATGCACATGATACAATTTGTTCTGTCATGGAAGTACTCAGCAAAAGTGAGCACTGTGGCATGAGTACTGAAATTTTGCTGAAGCTTCCTCAGTGCCTCATGGATGTGTTGGGACCTAGCAGAGAAAAAAAAAAATTATGGGGGCAGGATAGGTAAGCACTACACAAGTAATGGCAGTGCCCCATGTAGGCAGATGCCAGGGAGAAGCAGGTGGCCAATACCACAAGAGATTTATCTGTGGCTTACAAAGCTATGGGAAGGATCCATACCAGTGTCACAACTCGATGAGGCAAGAAAGCCACCTCAAAGAGACAGAGAGCAATGAGGCAGAGGCACAGAGAGAAGCCCCACACAATTCAAGCTGTGGTTTTATCTTCTTCTAGTCTATCCTTCTAAATTTGATTTCAAAATGTATATTGATTTGGATTTTCTTTGCAATCAAAAGACTCTTAAATTTTGGTAGATTTGAGGTCAGGTAGGGAAGAGTGAAAAGTCCCTAGAGTGAGAATGAAAATTCCCTGTACACTAGTGAGAAGGGGCTTGGGAACCCAGAACAAGGCAGAATCTCTTTATTAAGTATCAATGAGTTGGAGCCAAAGCTTGATGGGGAACCTTGCAGCTCATATCCGGGGAAAACTAAGAGTGAGGGTTTAGTGTGCAACTGTAAATTCTTGGTTATTACCATTCTCAAGTTTGTATGACCCTGGGAACTGTGGTGGAGCAAACCTATTGTAGGGGAAGGTAAAGAGAGTCTATATTATACCATAACAGTGGAGAGTCAGGGTGAAGACCAGGGCTGACTGGCACACCATGAATACTTGAACTCTCCAATAGAACCTGTGGGGATTCCTGACATTTAGTGAGCATCTGCTATGTGAATCACAGGCTTTCTTTTCTTTTTTTTTCCTGTAGTTTTTTTGTTGGTGCATTATAATTGTTCCTAATGGTGAAATTTATTATTACATGTACATGCTCAAAATAATAACAGTATATATAATTTGGCTAATATCATTCTCTTGCATTTCCCCTTTTCCCTCCCTTCTCCCTGGTCCATTTTCTTAATTCTATTTATCACCCTTCATGAGTCACAGGTTTTCATGTAAGGCCTTGTCTATGACACAATCAAGTTTCCAAGTCCTTATCCATTTTATGCATAGATTAAGGCACCAGTAACCTTTTGTCCCCACTCTGAGAGCTAAACTATTCTGAAGATACAAAATAGTGTCTGCTTTTCTACCATCATCATTATAGTTTAGATAGGCCTAGTTAATGTGGATAATACTGTAAAAGGCATACTTTCTAGAATTTAGAGTTAAAAAGAGTCAACAGCTACATAATAATAGCACTTTATTTCTTGACAACATTATTGCTCTCTCTCTCTCTCTCTCTCTTTTTTTTTTTTGTCTTGCAAAATTCCTGTTTTAATGAACATCTCATTTAATCCTTCCAATAATCCTGCAGGGAAGGTGAGATAGAGGTTTCTCTTATTTTGCAGATGAAAGATGAAACTCACAGGAAATGTGAATGACTTGGCAGAAGTTACTTAGCAAGTTAGTTCCAGAACAAACTAGATTTCCTCCCAAGAGAAGGGAGACCGTGATCCGACTTCCGTCTTCTATGGACCATGCATTTGACATGTGACTTTCCTGGATTTTCATAACAGGTCTGCAAGGTAGGCTTTATTATTCCTTCTTCTAGATCAGGAAATTGAATGCCAATGAATAAACAATTTATGATTTCTCACTCATTTAGGGGATAAAGTTGGGTTGCGCTTGTATTAATCTTTCTAGCTTGAAAGCCATGTTCATACTACTGTCCCAGCCTTCCTCCATCCTCCAGGCTTCCTGCCGTCGCCCCTGCTGAGAAAGGAAACACTCATGTATTACAGCTCTAACACTGTAGAGGATTCTTTTCATGGAACTGGGATGTTGGCGAAGCAGAACTGGAATTCAGTGGAGCAGAGCCGTCTGTAAGAAGTACCACTAGTTTCAAGTTTATAGGGGAGACTGGCAGGAGAGGGGAATAAAATATGGTTTGTGAACAAATTCAGGAGCTGAAGGGATGTGTGGGCACCCTTGAGATAGTGACCTCGGCCCATGCCTGGATGGGGACAGAAGGGTTGTTCCCACTCAGCACTTACCCAGCTGTACAATTCCGAGCACAGAAACGTTCCCTCCTGATCTGGGATCGGCTTAAGCCCTGAAGCATGAAATGTGAATACCTTTTGCACAGCATCCATTAAATAAATGTTATTCTTCTCCCTGGCAGAAAACACAAATTTCTCTGCTCAGAGCCATAGTGTAGCAGAAGGAACACAATTTACAATATCTCTCTTTACGATAATGGCTCTCACCTTCCAAGGAAATGAGCTTGGAGGAAAGGAGCACCATTGAGTGCCCAATGACAAGTCTGCGAGGCTTGCCACTGCTGCTAATTATCTGGCAGGGAGGAAAGGCTGTGTCCCTCGAATACGGAGAAGGGCTTGTGAACTCTGGAGAAGGGGCAAGGCGCTTTGGTGTCTCTGTTATGCAAACTGGAGAATGGCCCCATCGGGTCGTGCCTGACCTTTACCTCTTCTCCATGATGGAGCAGACATTTTTGCCAATTACGATCCTAAACACGCTGAAAAGTACCCTTGGCCACTGACAGTTTGCAAGGGAGAAGCAATGCCTCTGGAATAATACCATGCTCAGGACAAAGAGGAAGGGTAAACAAAGCATTACTTTGTGTTGCAAATAGACGGCTTTGTTAAATACTGAAGAAATCCCCTCGGTGTCCACCTTACACAGCTCTGATAAAAATGCATTTGCAATACGCTCCATGTCAAGAAATCACATCTTACAGGGCCAAGGAGGTTAAGAGCATCTCCCCAACTACAGAATAAAACTCATTAAAATCGTCTTTCCAGTAAGAGAAGGTCCTGTTTGCTCTCCTCCCCACAGCCTCCTCTTTTTTTTTTTTTCTCTTAAGCTAATGTTTTTCAGAACTAGAGACACAATCAAAAAAAAACACAATACACATTTGTGTTAAAAATAATAAGCGTGATAAATATGGGAGGAAATATTAATGGTAAACAGAATCAGCGAACAGCAGAGACAGAAGTGAACTTAACAGAACATACTTGACCGGCAGGTAACACATTAAAATGCCATTTCGGCAGACAGAATTGATAGCAGACTTGCTGAAAGAAAATCTGGTCCAAAAAAGAGGACAAATCCAATCCTTATCCCCTTTTCCTGCCACATGTTGCAGACGAGTAAAACCCAGGGGGGAAATTCTGCAAATAGGTGTGAGTCCAGAGGAAAAATTAAGTTGACTATTTATAAATTTTTCTTTCAAGCATGAAAAGGGAACTCGAAAACAGGTCATTTAAAAAAAAAATTCAAGTCTGGTGTTTTCTACCTGTTAATATAGTTGCCTGAGGAGAGGGGTATAAGGAAAGGCTGATTTCCAACCCAGGAAACATCTCTCAGAAATAAAGACAGTATGAAATGACTTTTGTCAGACAAGCAATATGAGAAAATCTAATATTGAGAGGAGACAATATTTTTTTTCCTGCTGCCCAGTGAGTACTGATGGACTGGCAGCAGCTTGGGTTTGGTTATGGGACTACTGATGGGAATCAGAGAGGGGAGCCAGGGAGGGGCTCTGCTGTTAGTGACAGGAAGGACTGTCATGGGCATGAGATAACCTCAGGAACGTTCTCCTTCAGTTCAGGAGGTTTCTAAGCATCTAGAGACAGTCTTTGATACTTGCATGAGCTTTGTTGGTCTTGTACTACAGCTATCTTTGCTCTTCTAAAGGAAAGGTAACCTCCAGGTATGTGTACACTCTTGTAGGCAATGATCTGTTACACAATAGGGCCGTAGATCGACCAGCTAGAATGTGGAGATTGAAAAGAACTCCGAGGAAAAAGATACACAAGACAATCCAAAATTCATGATAGTTCATCTAACCATTTTTTAATTTATGATAGTGTGAAAGTGATATGGTTTCAATAGCAAGTGTACTTTGAATTTCAGTCTTTCCCTGGGATAGCAGTACATGGAATGATAGTTTCCTATGAAGCTGGGCGGCAGCAATGAGCCCAAGATCCCAGTCAGCCACTTGAACATGAGGGCAAACAATGGATATTAGATACAGTTTTAACAGCGTGTTTTAGATTCAGGCTTTCAATTCATCACCTGAGATATTCTACATGATATTATAAAACAGACTTTGTGATTGATGATTTTCTCTAACTGTAGGCTCTCCAAGTGCCCTCAACACATTTAGTGTAGGCTAGGTAACTCGTGATCCTGAATAGATTAAGTATATTAAACAATTTTATATATATATATATATATATATATATATATATATATATATTTGGTATCGGAAATTGAAACAAGGGGTGCTTAACCATTGAGCTTCATCCATGGGCCATTTTTTATTTTTTATTTTGAGACAGGATCTCAACAAGTTGTTTAGGGGGCTTTGCTAAATTACTGAGGTTGGCTTTGAATTTGTGATTTTTCCTGCTTCAGCTACCTGAGCTGCTGGGATTATAGGCATGCTCCACGATGCCCAACCTATTAAATACATTTTAAACTTAGGATATTTTCAGTTTATGATGGGTTTATTGAGGGATAACCCCATCAAAAGTTAAGAAGCAACTAACTCTCAGGTCGTTCCTGAGAAATAGGGTGACCTTTGTTCAATGAGGAAATCTGGGGGCTGGAGTTCTAGTCTTATTCTTCAATAGTTCCCGTCTTTCTCTTTTCAATATCAACTCTCTTTGTAATATAGACAAGTCACTTTCAACTAGAATAAACATATATTGCTGTATGCTCTGGAGAGTCCTATGTTATGTCTAATGTCACTATCAATAATCCCCCTCATTCTCAAAAGTATCCTGTTTTGGATGAAAATTCTATGGTCACTCTACTTATAATAAACTCTCTGAGGCTCAATTTTTATATATGAAAATAAAGAGATTGTTCTAGAAAGCATTATCCTGAGCTTACACAAGGGTTTCTTGTGTACCACTATGCTTTTAATCAGTCGGTATGGTTTATAAGTGTCAACAAATAAGCTGGGGCAAATTAATATATTGTCCCCATCAAGGATATTTCCTTTTAATGGAGGGCTTTTGAAAACATTATTTTTATAATTTAAAACTTAATATTTAAAGGTGAAAATACAATTTCAGATATATGCTATTTTGCTTTCTTGGAGAATCACTAAACATTGGGCTAACCTTCTGTGGGAAGCTCAGGAGACCCTAAAAACCAATCCTGGGCAGGCTGTAGGCAAATAACCTGAGAAATTAAAATGCAACATGATTTGGGGCCTGATGCCTCAAGATTTTAGTTACTTGAATTTATATATTTAAAAAGCTCCCTTAAGTTTTTTCTGATACAAAGCTGGTCCTGGAAACATTGATGTATCCCAGAATGTTCGCTTTACACATATAGAGACTGGCTCAGGAGTTAACAGCCATAACAATGAATCTTTGCCTTGTCTTTGTTATTTACCAAGTATGAGTGGGTGGTGGTTCCTTCAATTTTATCAAAATCCTGTGGTATTTTAAATATGAATCCGGTTTTACAGATGATACTATGAAACAAAATAAAAGAATGGTGCCCAACATTTTGTGGCTACTTAGTAGTAGAATCACAATTTTTTTATTTATTTATTTATTTAGTTTCCTGATTCCTATCCTGATCTCTGTTACATCATAATGACCTAGGTTGTTTGTGGAAGGCTTGAATTTTCTACCATAAAGCTGCCTTAAGTACTCATCTCGCGTTCTGTCCTTCTTTTCCAGAAAGATGCGAAGATGTGTATTTAGGAGTTTTTGTTTTCTCCCTGATTTTAGGTTTTTTTTTTTTTTTTTTGGACCAACATTTAATTTTGCTCTTCCCCCTCCCTGAGCGTGTAGTGGGCTGCCTGGCAGAGATGGCAGGAGATGTTTTCATGCGCAATCAAGGGCATAGATGCATTGGCTGTCAGCCTCAGGCAGGGACACAGACTTGTCTCCCACTAGCAGAGCGATGATGCGTTTCCCCAAAATGTTCCAAGAATGGCCTGGAATGTGACTAGACAAGGTCCATGCGGCCCCATGAATGGCTTCACACTGCACTGGCCAGAAAACAAACACAACAGTAATTCTTGGATTAGCATGAAAACACTTCCAAAGGGGGCTCAAAGACAGCCTTTTGTCCCTTTTATAAAAGGGAAGAGATGAGGTGTGACAAATGGCCTGTTGGTTGGCTTTCTGTGCCAGGCAGAGGTCATCCTGGAAGGGCACCACAGACACAATCAGTCTAACAAAGAGGAAGCAGAATGAAAACCAAAGGACAAAGAACATTTCAGAAGAGGCAAGGTGGTGTCTAAAGAAGACAATGCCAATTAAATAAGTAAGAGGGATAGTAGGGCTCACACATTTAAGCAATTATGCCGCCTTTTGCACTGAGACATGATGTGAAATGTATGGTGCAAACAAGGAGGATGTAGGCAGCAGACGCAGGTGTTCCCAACTTTAGCTGAGACCCTCAGATGTTCTGGACTTGTGTTTTTACATTGATAAAATGAAGGTAATAAGACCTACCTTGCTTGGTTGCTGTAATGGCTAAATAAGATCAGAGCTACGAAGTCAGGAAGAATAGTGGTTTAGTGGAGAGAGGCTGTGATGAGACATTGACGACTTGGGCAGTGTCCTTGTTTCTCAGTGATATGGTGACAATGTGGCAACTCATTTTGCCTGAGTGTCCCTTACATTTTTTCACATCTTCATTAGTATTTATGTCGAACCACAATTTAGCAAACAAAATGCTAAGAAGAAAGAAGTTAGATGTGGAGCTTCCATGTTTGAAGCAAGAGCCCACTGGGAGGGTGTGCTGACTTCTCCCCTCCTCTCTTCACTTGCTATCTCTTCTTTCCACCATGATAATTAACACCTGAGACAGCTCCTCTCCTTCTATACTCTAGGATTTGGTTGCTGTTCACTTCTGATAACTTTCTAAATATATTTTTCGTTATAGATAGACACAATATCTTTATTTTGTTTATTGATTTTCATGTGGTGCTGAGGATTGAACCCAGTGTCTCACATGTACAAGGCCAGTACTCTGCCACTGAGCCACAACCCCATCCTGAATTTCTTGAGTTTAATAGCATAAAGAGCAAAGGAATTCTTTCCAAGCTTCTAAGTCTTCAGAAATTTCAGTGGACTGGCCAAACTTCCTCATCTTAGATGAGGGTGGTGTATGAACACACAGAAAAAGGAGATCCAGGAGGTTGATATTTGGAAGACAGAATTAAACATTCCTGATTGACTTAGTGCTACTTCCTACAGCACGGGGATCTAAAAAATTTCTCCAGATTTGTAGACACAAAACTCTCATTATGATCTAAAATTGTCATTCATTCATTCATTCAGTCAGTCATTCATTCATTTAGAGGAATGAGAAATAGGAATCTGGGTGGGAATCTCACAGCTAAAGAGTCACTTTGAACTTCAGGTGACCTAAGTGAATGTCTATAAACAACTAATCCCAGACTAAAGTCAATAGCACCACATAAAAAATAAATGATTTTCTGACTTTCGTTTTCATAGCACGATCTATCACATGACCCTCCTGTTATTTCACGTCTGTGTGTGTGTACACGTGTCTGCACTCACAAACGTGCCATAGAGAGCCTTCTATCCTCATAATGCCTATTACTTCAAAAGCATTTCTTTGGTCGTCTGCTTTAGGATCTATCTGTTTCTTTATTTATGGAGATTAGATAAACCTTCAAAGCCCCAAAGAAGTGAGGATTATATATTTGGAGACATTCCAAGAAAAATGAACAAGGGACCCCTATTTGATGTGCCTTATAAAATAAATATGTCTTAATCCTGTGCCCTGAGTTTTGTCTCCACCAGGCTCTCAATATGTAATCCTGGATAATCCTCTTGAACCTGGGGTTTAGTTTCCCTCATCTGTAAAATGGGGATAAATAATATCTTGTGAGAACCAAATGAGACATAATACATTTTGTTTTGGAAAGTTAAAAATGTCTGCCAAATGTGATTTTTACATGAAAAACTTAAAAAAAAAAAAAAAGAGAGTGATAGTAGTTATGACCTGGGCAGACATTTTTAATGAAAAGGTGGAAAGGAGACCTGTTCTCCTTTTTGTTAATATCTAGAGCCATGCAAATTCATAACTGGTAATAAATAAATTCATGACTGGTAGTCTTTGTACACATGGGATATTACTGAAGCTTAGAGGGCTTACCTGGTGTGGTTTGTAATGCAAAAACAATGCTCTGTTGCTTGTTAGAGTCCTCTGAGGCCTTTTGGGTTAACTCTTGGTTGAATCGGGAGAACTTTGAAGTCATAAGTCAACTTTATTCCTCAATTGTTGCCCTGTGACCTCTGGTGGGAAGTCGTAGGTGTCTCCAGGTTTAGGCTCTTCCCCAGGTGTCAAAGGGGATGTAAGAATAGAAGCCATCCTTTGGAAACAGCTCCAAACAGAGAAAATTGTGTACCTAGGAGTGCTAGCATCAGCCGTGCCTTTAGTTTGCTTGCTTTCCCAGCACTCATTTGTGGGGAGGAATGTAATCTGATAAATGAATCCATTTAGAAAGGTTTGTAACAGGATGGAGCTTCTTGTGAATCCTAAAGGAGAATACCTGGGGCTGGTGGTGAGGCCAAATTCACCCGAAAGGCATAGCTGAGAATGAGGGACTGGGTGATGTTTAGAAAGCTTCAAGATTCTACAAGGAAGAGGAACTGTTGATGAGCAGCTTCAAAAATCAAACCAAAACAAATACTTTCTCTTATTTGTTTAATTACAGTTCTCCCCCACTTTGGCCTCCTTGTCTCTGGTGACAATTTGAGCTGGCTTTCTGTTGGTGCCCCTGAAATGTGGCATTACTGTCGTGGAGGACTCATTGGATCAAGTCAGGGGAAAAGCTCTTATAGGCATTGATGAGCTGAATGACCTTGGTCTGGCTCCCCTCACACCTGTAAAAAACGTGCAAATTTAAGGTGAACATTTATGTATTTTTATATGCATACATAAATGTATGTACATTTATGATTTGATATATGCATACACTGAGAAAAAATCAACATCATCAAGATCAAGTTAATTAACTTATCTATCACCTCCTAAGGTTACTTTTTTTTTTTTTTTAATTTGTGGTGATCTCACTTAGGAGCTACCTTCTTGGCAATGTCCAATATATAGTAGTATATTATTGGCCCTAGTCATCATGCTATGCATGAGATCTCCAGAACTTATTCATATGGCTTGCCGTTTTTGTAAAATGAGTTAGGATATAGAGATTTCCCAAGGTGCCTTCCAGTTCTAAATACCGTAATTACTTTACTTTCTGTCTATCGAGTTCTGTAGATGGTGTGCAGCTTAATTGTGATATGTGGGTTACCACTCAAAATAACAGGGTGATGAAAAACACAGCAATGAAAGTTGACCACGGTGTGTGTCCTTCATCTGGATCCTTTTCACCTCCAGCACGGCAGGGCAGGAGTGATGTATTCCGAGTGCGCAGCACAGATGAATATCTGCCACGAGATTCTTGATCATTATAAGTGATGTTCAGATCAAGATAGCTCAGGTGAGCCCAGACAATAACTGCAAGAGGAATGTTATTGCTCTAGCCGGTCTTCTCGTTCTTTCAATGACTGGGAAATGAAAAACCCCACTCCATTCTGGAAATGTAAATGGAGTGAACTGGCTCCTCTCCTTGAATGGCTTAGACTGCAGACTCAACCACAGGCAAGAGGAGACACGAGTTGACCTCTGGAGACCTAGCATAGCCTCTCCATTCTCTAAAATGTTGGCCCTGGAGGAAAAGTGTCACACGTCTTCTTGTATGTCCTGTCGCACACTGAGTAATGTTGCCCCTCGGCCCCCAGCAGAGCATTTTAATGATAACGGCTGTCTTCAGGGACAGATTGTGACTTGTCTTTTAAAGGAAGATGAAATCTATTAAGACAGTGAGGACAGAAAAGAAAAGCTGTGTCCCTGGGAAGAGAGAGCTCAAAAGCAGAGCACATTAGCGCCTTTCTCTCCCCCACCCCCTTTGTGAGAAGAGCGTACCCTTCAACTGTTCTGTTTTGTGTCTGGATTATTATGGTTGTTGGTGTATAAAATTGCTGCTTGGTGTGTATAATTTATAAGCTCTAAAAAATGATAAATCGTCTCAAGTAAGAAGAGTGATTTGTGTTAAAGTCCTCAGGGTACTTTTGTAAAGGAATTTAATTTCTTGGGGGAAATTGTCTATAACTTCCTGTGGAATATTAGTTAACTCATTCAGAGCTGGGATTTATTTCCTATTGTCTCTATGTATATGTGTGTGTGTGTGTGTGTGTGTGTGTATGTGTATATGTTTACATTTTCAGTTATTGGTTTGAATAGGTTTTACCTGGGCAAATGAGACAATACATAGTCAAGTTTAATAACCTGGGCAGTTTAATAGACAGCCTAGTTAATTTATTTTTCATTATTTTGGTGCAAACCAATTTTTTAGGATTTTCTTTAGGTTGAGGTTATTTTTGTGCTTTTGTCCAGTGGTTCTCAACCAGGAACAACTTTGCCAGCTGGGAGATACATGACATGCTTGGTTGTCATGACTCAGGGTTGCAGCTGGCATCTAGTGGGTAGAAATCACAAATACTGCTACCTATCCTCTAAAGCACAAAAGAGCTCCCTATAACAAAGTTGTATGCCAAACATTTCTAGGTCTATTCTAATGGGTAGGCCCCAGGGAACATAACTCAAAATATTTCTACCAAGGATTTTCTACAGAATCCTGCCTTTTTTTTTTTTTCAACTTCTCATCACCAAGAATGGAGGTGGGAGGCAAGAAGAAGTTGCAGCTGGGCAAAATGAGAATGGATCCTACAGTATCGAGTCCAGGGTGTGCTTGATTTTTTTTTTTAATACTCTTCTCTCTCTCTCTCTCTCTCTTTTGTGTGTGTTTCCTTAATACTTAGGTTCAATTCTTGATGAAAATAAAAGATTTTGGCTAATAAAAGGGAAATACAGGCTTCTTGAAAATACTTCTCCATAAAGGACGATCAAGCATGGAAACTTGTGGTTTTAAACTTGTGTTGTACGTGAACTGTGAAGATTCAGGTCCAAGATTGGGTGAGATGTGTTTAAGTATAGGAGGAGATGTTAGGTGCAAAGATCATGCTGTCTAATATCCTTTATGCTTTGCCTAGCACTGAGACTGACAGTTATAGAGGTTAATGGATTAACTGAATATGTAGTAAGTACCATTTAAATATTAGTCTTCAATTATGCAAATGTGAATAGCTTCAAACTTTTTAGCCTGATGTTCAAGACTCACTACCACCCGATTCATCTTACTTCTTACTCACTCTCCTACTTAGATCTTTTGCTCTAGTCAAGCTTTTGTTCTCAGGACTTTGTAAACTCAGCATGCATGTTCATAGAGAGTCATAAACTTGCACTTTGTCTGTGCCAATTCTTTCTCTACTAGCCGTGAACATTTTAACTGTCCTTCAAGAGTGAGAATGAAACTCTGCCTTCTTTGTGAAGAAAAGTGTTGGTTTCTTTCCCTCCCTCCCTGCCTTCCTTCCTTCCATGATTAAATAATAACATTTATTAACTATGAGAGGTTAGCCTCTAATTTTGACTCTTTTTCTGTATTTAAACCCCTCCCCAAAATGCCGGGGGAACATAATGAGTTAGGGGACCTCCCCGCAGTTCCAAGCATCACACTGACAAAACTCATCTTCTAACCCAGGACAAATCAGTCAACCTCTCTGATTCTCAGGTTTCTTAAATCTACAAAGTAGGCAGGATAATCCTCACTCTACTTCTCTTAAAAGATTTGGATCAAATGAGATGATGAACACAAAAAAACCTCTGAAAAATATAAAGGACTACACAAATGTAAGGCATTATCGTTGTCACCATTTACAAAACTAAAGTGAATCTCACAAAGTGCTAATGTTGTACATATTCTGCAAAGCACTTAGCGGTAGTTGGCACTTAATAAACGAGAGCTCACACAAAAGCATTGTTTCCATGGTTAAGACACACTGGCATGAGCTGCATTAGAGAAGGGAGGCTGGGAAAAGGTTCCTCCCTGTATTGATGGAGGAACTATTAAAAGCAGAATGTGATTTTTAACATCCCCAGGACTATGATAGAAATGAATAAAATTTTGTGTGCTTTATCATTTGTGACCTAGAAAAGAGAACCCCGAAGGCATGAAAAGTCTTAAAATAAATTATTTGTGTGCAAAAGGAGGCAACATATTCCACTGTTTTGGCAATTTCAGTTTCTCCATTAAGGGTACAAATAGCGGATGGGGTCACCTAAGCAAAATGCTCCCTGATTTGTTAAAGGCTTTTCTGGCTACAAATTAATAAGCCTGAATTTATTTTTTGTGGTTCATATACTGGCTCAGTATATGAATTTCCTTTTGCAATTGGTGGGAGGAGGGTGGTATAGGGGGTGGGTGTGAGTTTGTGCTTGGGAAGTGGGCACAGCTGGTTTACCATGGCTCAGCAGGGTCACAGAAGCTCCAGGGTCACAAGTACATGCAGTTACTCTGCACCATGGCTGGCAAAAGGAGTTCTCAGTAATTGTTAACCTTTGCTACTGGATGGTTAGCAAATTAAAGCAAGAAAAGACTCGTCTTGTACCTCTCCCTCCTCTTCTTCCCCACCTATGTCTGTTTAAGAAAATACTTAGAAGTGAAACTCTGTAAAAGATTTTGAGGACATCCAGTGCCTCACCACTCAATGTTTGTCCTGCATACCAGTAGCATTGGCATTGCCTGGCACCTCATTAGGAATGCACAATTTCCACCTCACTGTACCTGATTCTTCATATCAACAGGACCCCAGGTGAGTCCCAGGTGTATTGAAGTCTGTGCAGCGTCACTCTGGAGCAATGACACAATCAGGAATTTTCTAAAGAATGAATGAACAAGTGAATGAATGAATAAATGAGAAGGCACATACAGTTGGGCAGTTTGAAATTGTATGGTCCTAATGCGTTGGATAAAAATACAGATGTAAAATGTCAGGATAAAAGTGAGATGTTATCCAGATGGAGTAGCACACACCTGTGATCCCAGCAACTCAGGAGGGTAAGGGAAGAGGATCACAAGCTCAAAGCCAGCCTCAGCAACTTACCAAGGCCCTAAGTAACCTAGCAAGATCCTTTCTCAAAATGGTCAAGTGCCTCTGGGTTCAATCACTAGTACGGGGAAAAAAAAATAGATGTTAACTCAATGCAATTGCAACTGCAGCTTATTTATGGTAAGATTTGGTAAAGGTGGACACAGCATAGCAAGACCTAAGGAAGAGACAACACTGGAGAAATTTTTGAGAAGAAATTGCTTGTTAAGCAGTGTCCATGTTTCTCTAGTCAAAATAAAGGAATCAGAAGAATTAATTCAATTATTTACCAGGGAGAGAAAGAGTTGATTAGAAAGAAAATTTGAGGGAATTATGGGGCAGAGGAATATCAAATGACTATACACATATAGATTTATTTATTCAATGCTATTATGTTGGCAGCATTGGTCATGGATCTATATAAGAAATAAAATGCCAGGGCCCAAGGATGAGGAGTGTGCTAACAAAAGGAACATGACAGCTTCTCTGTCCTTAAGGGGAAATAGTTTTATTCCTGAGATCCTTGTAGTAAATGAAGATGTGGGAAGAAATGTGCTCAGGTTTATCAAATTTGTTGAATAATTTGTAGGTTTATTCTCCAGTGGCTGATATTTAAAGTCATACTAGGTTCCCATCAAAGGTTGGGGGCACTACAAAATTCTGAATGAGTAGAGCTGCTTATTCTTTCACGAGCTGAGACCATCACTCACCAGGGCTTTCACTGAGGTAGACTTATTAAATCAATACTCCTTTTGTGTCCACATTTTGAGGTACCGTTTATCATTGGAACAGAGACCATGATGAGACATATGAGATGAGAGGAAGTGAATGAGAATCTAGAAAAACAAAATTGACCAATGTTGATCATCACCCAAGCTAGATGATGACTATGCAGAGTATATACCTCTTCCACTTTGATTATAATGATATTCACTGAATGTTTGAACTACTTCCCCCATGTGCAGTTAAAAATTGCCATGAACTAAAAGAAAAAAAAACTCGTTTTTATTCTCATTATCAATTCAGTTTGAGCTCTTATCACCTCTAAAGCCCTGTAACAGATCATCTTGACTCTTTTCTCTCCCCAATTGTTTTTGCACAGTGTTTCTAGATAAAGATTTCTTACTAAACCAATCATTCCACTTAAATAACAAAGCCTACCTTTCTTACTTCCAAAAACAGACAGACAAACAAACAAACAAACAAATGAAAAACAAATTCTTAGCTCTCTTTATAGCCTATCCATCAGACTTCTCTCTATTCCTGTCTAAGAATCATTATCCTCAACCATCTTACATACTTAGAGGACTCTTTGATTTTGCTGCAACTCTTTCATCAGAAAATTCCTGCTAGATTTTAAGTGCCATCTTAAATACCAGCTTTCCTAGGAACTGAACCAAAAGACAACTTTTGCATGTATGTATGTCTTCCACTTTGATGATAATGATATTCACTGAATGTTTGCTAATAAATGGATAGATATTTCTCTGGCCCAATAATACAGTGGTAAAATGAAAAATTATTTTTCATAATATGGTGTGGATGTCTTATGTTTCCAACTCTTAGAGAATGGTAAAAATACATTTTTGGTAGTATATTTAACACCTAGCATACATATTATAAATAAATTTTATATATATATATATATATATATATATAGAGAGAGAGAGAGAGAGAGAGAGAGAGATCAAGAGTATCTGTAGAATTAAACAAATACGCACGTGAAAAAAATGACTTTATATGGGATTGATTTATAAGAATAGAGGCTTCAGTTTATTGAGCATTTACAATGTGTCAAACACTGCTAAGTGTTTACTTATAAGGGCTCATGAAATTCTTGTAACAATATTATAAAGTAGTTGCTCTCATCCATAATTTAAAGATAATAATATTGGGCTTCAATGGAGGCAAGAGACTTTCTCTCACTTTTGTAGTGTTTAGTCAATGCTAGAAATGAGACTCTGAGACATTTAACAACTGTGCTATTTCCCCTTGCCAGATAATAAGCAGGCTATGATTGTACTCTCCATTGCGTGTGTGGGGAAGAGACCCCAGGAGAGACCCCAGCATTAGACTCTGGGTGAAAAGATCAAAGATAACTAGAACCTCCCTGTGTGACACCTTAAAGAATTTTTATTTCCCCCAGGTTTTTGGTTTGATTTTGCATTTAGTATTCCCTATGGGGGAATGACATTGAACCCACATCATAATCAAGTGGCCAGATTTCACTTCAGCTAGTGAGACCAATAGAAGGCTTTGTAATTTGAATTCTACTTTTTCTAAAATCCCTTCCTGGCCCTCTGCCTGCTCCGATTTCTCCTTTCTCCTGAGCAATGTTTGGGTGTTTATTGCACATATAACGTACACATGCTACCATATGGCTTGATGCCAGTTTTAGTCTGTTTTCTTCTTAAACCTAGGTTGGCTTACATATCATTCAATGCTCTGCATAAACTCCAATACGTCCGATACCTTCCCCAAGATTTATGAGACTTCCGAGATTTTCAAGTGTAGTCCTTGTTGTCAAGATTAATGTCTGGCTTCAAATCTTTACCTTTTCTGAATTTTTAATTTTTATTTTGTGTTTTCTCCCTGTTTCTTTCTATTTGGATTTTAGAGATGACTTTTTTGAAAGTTTGGGGAGAACAAAGGAGTTTATATCCTATCAAAGTGAAATCTTATAATCAAATGGCTGCCCTTGTCTCATAAAAAATTCCTCATATTTCTTGGTGTTGCTGGGCTATTCTTTCTTTTCCCTCTCCTTCTTTATTCTCTGTCCCCATCCCAAGAAAACTGAACACTTATCCCCATTTTATTAGGCAAATAAATTTAACTATTTACTGTCCTTACCTCCAGATTGTGGTCTTGGTATTTCTTTGTAGAACTGAACACTCTGCAAAGTTTCTTAGTTATCAGAGTCTTCTGGAGAAAGCAAGGATTTCCTTTTCTATTTATGAATTAATATGTGCATAATTCTCATCTTTCCATCCATAAGCAAACTTCCTTAAGGTCAGAATTCTCCTTCTCTGCCAACACTGTAGCCTAAAGCTAAAAAGGTAAAAATTGGTTCATTCATACATTTTGCATTGAATAGATAGACAAGAAAAAGAAATAGGGATTCACATGAAGTGGGGAAAGGAAATAGTATAGAAAAACCAGTTGGTCCCATTGTCCCACCTGTTATTCTGTGGGCCTAGAAATACTGCATTGTTGAAGGCCCATCCAATAGTGTCCTAGTGTCTGTGGTGCTTGAGTGACAGCTGATACCCAATGACTTAATTACTTATTTTCTCTGCCTCAAAATGCTTCTTGCTTTCTGCCTCTCTTCTTGGAGTCTCTCCTTTTCCTTCAATACTTTCCTTTTTCTTTTACTTGAGTATTTGCTGTTATTTTGACTAATCTACTTTCCAGCTAAGGAGATGAGTGTTTCTTGGGTGGAAAAGATTTTAGGAACTCTATTGATGAGGCTTCCCACAGTTGGGGACTAGAGCTGGGAGTTCTGGACTACAAAATTAAGAGTTCTAAGTAAAATAAATACAGTATGGAAAATCAGAATTATGAAGAACCAGATCAGGAGGCCAGAGGCTCATCTAAACAAAAGTGAACCTAGGCATCGTTTGAAGCCAGGTTACAAAGCTAAGACTTCTAAAATGACACAAACAATAAAATGAACTTGGAGCACCTCTATGCAATGGAGAAGTAGAGATTATGTGTGTCAACCAATTTGTTAGGATACCCATTGTTTTAAATTTTTTCGTTTTTGCTTTTTCCAAGTAAAAGGACATTCATGTTTTGGCTGAAAGGGTAGAGAGTAGGATAGAAACTGGATCTTCTAAACAACTTATATTCTTTAAATATAAGTTTGTTGTTTTCTTTAAAAAAAATGTCTATTGAAAGTCAACTATATACAGAAAATTACATGAATTTTTATTCTTTTTAAGTTTTTATGACACAAACTTACATGTACTCACTATAAAAGCACCAGATAATATATTGTATGTGTGTACATAAATGTATGTATGTGTGTGGGGAGGGGGTTGAAGAGGAAGATGAGAGAATGTTAAAAAAAAAAAAACAGAGTAAAAACTCCTTGTTCATCTCGGTACCCTCTACCCCAATAGGATTCCATTATGTAGGGGTTCCACTGTTAACAACACTGTCACTATTGCTAAGACTCAGAATACTCCATTTATTTGACACCAAGAGAAAACATGTTCCTTTTCTCTTCTGACCACCAAAGAGAATTTGTCTTTTGTTCTCATGAAATAGTCTCCACAAAGTTTCCTTCATTTGTGACCTGTGGTTTCAGACCCCACATGTTCTCAGGTTCAAACCTATGGTCAGTCCTCAACATATGAAACTGTGTGGGTGGTTTTCTACGGTGCTATTTTGTTGTGGCATTGCAAGCTCCTATGTGGGTGGAACTAGGGTATCTCTTGCTGCATTGTTTGCAATGGGAAATATCAGGGTCATGAGAAGTTATTTCACAGTTCAGCCAAGCCATAGCATATAAGCACTATTGTATTGATGTCTTATTATGAGATACCAACATAGGATAAAAGAAAATGATTGTTTAAATGAAGACAAAAACATATGGTTCACTGAAGGAAGCAGAAATATCACTTGTTACTTCAAACTTGGACCATCTGACCAAACATTTGCAATGCTTTATTTGCTGCCTATCAAAAAGGTTTTATTCTTTTTAAGTTTTTATGACACAAACTTACATGTACTCACTATAAAAGCATCAGATAATGATGTTGTATGTGTGTGCATAAATAGTTCCAACAGTGTGATTTGAATTTGTGAGTTCAGCATAGGAAAAATTAAAAAGAAAATGAAAGCATAAGAGACAAACATATATCTACATGTTCTTATGATTTTAAAAGTTGTCAAGTGGGCCTCATAGTTGGTGAAGAAACCAGTTCATAAGCTGGGACTATGGTCAAGACAAGGAAGGGCTGAGGCAGAACCCAGGCCATACCACTCACATTCCATCTGTTCAGTTACTGGGCATCACTGCTTGCTTTTCCTCAGTAGCTTGCTAATTCCTAATCAGG